ACACACTCACAGGCATCGAAGTTGACATATGACCTTAACTAACCAAATCACTTTAAATTCGATCAAGGATGAAAGATGTAGAGTATATATACCACTTTAGGGATTTTCCAGTGAGCTTTCTTGACTCGTTAGCTTGAATTTGGTTGTGACGAAGATACCTTGCTCTGATGATGCTCGTCATTCGACGGACGAAAGCTTAGCACCTTTTCACCGTAATCGAAGGAGATTAAATCGGAATTAGCGTCAGCATGCATCTTCCAATAAAGCCAATCGACCGCTAGTAAAGAGGAATTCATCGTCATCTTCTGGTGGTACCGAGCTTCGAATCTCTTCACCCAACAGTCACTCGAAATGGAAGTAAGATCACCAAGTATTATGATAGCCTGGTAAACCATCTAACCTTATGATAATTTACTTTACCTGGTCCTCCAAATCGGTTACACCACTTAGCTCAAATACATAATTGTATTGATATTTTTATGCCATTCTTACCTAGTTATGACATCCAACGTCTGCCTTACCCAAGACAATGCTGCCTTTGTTTTTTTTTGAAGCGTCTTAAAAAGTTTGTTAAAGTCGCTTCATCAATAGACATCTTGTTCTGTAAGTGGGTCATTTGGGTACTAATTATTAATTGAGAAATTAAGGGACTTGACAGCCGAATATAAAATCATCTAGCTACGTTTTTTTGCGCTCGGAAATATACTTACTGTTATCTGTCTTGATGCAACCGTTACTGGTTCTGAATTCATTTTTTGAAATCCTCCAGCATATGTTTTTGCTTAGGCTATATTGTCAGCGGCATCGATTTTTGGCATAAGAATTCGCTTGCCTTATGCTCTTCTTCAATCAACTTAAATAGTCTGATTGAATTAGCATGCACAATAGCACGTTATTTTTTAGATGCTTGTGATTGATTGCTACTTTCGAGATACCTCTCCGCGGTCTTGAATGGTAAAATATATACCAGCTGTTTGTTTTTAGTGGGTCTATGAAGCGAATAAATAGGCTTACTAATGATCCAAAAAATCTGATTGATTGAACTGTATGTTCTTTGATGCAAGAGCAGCTATTTTTTATAGCATAAGTAAAGTTTTTGACAATTAGTCTTTTTACATTAAAATGTAAATGGTGCAGGTCTATAGATAGCTCTGTACATCGAAAAGTTATAGCCAGACCGGGTGGGTCCTGATGCTTTTGAGCTGTTGTATGCATCTAATATAGAATTTATTCTAGTTTTTGAACGATTTTTATTTTAAGTATTCCTGACCCTGGTCTTCAGGCATTATTTATAGATGCTCCGTTGATTTTAGAGCCTGTTGCAGCAGAGTGTTCTATAATCGAAATCTTATTTTTCTGGAATTTTTAACTTCTTATATATATATGGGTGAATATGGATACATTAATATGAAGTGTACAAATAGGTCCCATAAAGCATTGGTGCAAGGAGGGAATAAATTGAGGTCGACAAATGGAATCTCAAGTAGGATGGGAAAGCTATCGTATCAACTGTTCAATTTTCTTGGGTCTTATATTAATAAGGAGGATGACAATATTGGCAAAATAGTATTTGAAGTTAAAATCTTTGCTCTGTGATTCCTTTATATTATCTAGATGGTTGCTGGATAAATTTCTACTTCACTAGGTGTTCCAATATAAATATATTTTTTCGTTTATAAGTAGATCGCATATATGAAATGCATTAGCCCTATTTAGTTAGGATGATGAAATACCGGTATTTGAATTTTCCCACAATGATATGAGTAGGCCTTACACTTCCATTGAATTTCAGATATCGTTCCTTCCTTAAAAGTATTCTTAACCCTGGTGTATAGCAGTTTCGACCTTGTCTGAGTCCCCTCACCACCCTGTGTTATTAAGGTGATTAAAGACTGGTAGTTGAATTTATTCCGCAGTGATATGAGTAGACCTAGTCTTGTTTAAAATTCGCTACTGCTCTGTGACCCAAGGGCATTCGTAGCAGAGTGGCATAATATTTGGTTTCAAGATTATACGGTGCAATATTAGTGTTCGGGTCCCGCTGGAGGCGTTAATGGAATCTAAGCGAGGTCTAAACTTCTCTGGATAAGAATACCTTTTGGGAAGCAAAGCTATGTGAAATTCAATGTAAACTAAAGGCCTACTCATATTAAACCACCAATGCTTCATCACCTTAACCAAATAATATGAATAAATCATGAATATATTTCCATATTTTGACTATGTTTAAGTATTCTCGATCTAAGTTTGATGTTATAAACACTTTGAATCCCAAATGTGCCCATGAACTCGAGGCAAAGCTGATACCACAGAGTTATCAAGCTAAAAGACTTTTAAGAAACTGGGGATTTAATATTTTATCACCTGTTAGGCCTCGTATCAGTAAGTGGCATACTCTTGCTGTTGCTTTTCTTTTAAATATATAAGCTTTAAGATTTTAAATCCAAAGGGGATTTTTGCCATTATTCTAGAAAAAGGATTAAAAAATACTGCAAATGATTATGATTTGCCTTATTTTTTGAAATTAATATGCTTTCGAGACTATTAATAGATCTTTACTTAGAACTTTGTAACCCTGATTGCACAAAGTGATGAAGGGCAGATAGTGAATTTTCATGCAATAAAAGGAGTAGGCTTCATCATGCTTTAAAAATACCTATTCCCTTTGGCCTGCAGATACCCATTAAAACGTGATATAGTGGTAACATCTTGAAGGTATCTGGATTTGATTACCATTGGTCGCACTGATGAAGGTGCGCTTCTCCCTCCATGAGAATACATTTTTGGAAAGCAAGCCTAAATAAAATGTAATGGCTTCTTGAAGCCTATTCCTATCATTTTAAAAAATTATTCATCAGTCCCTTATCACCTTAAGTGACCTAGTTTGATCAAAGTTTTATTTTCATAGCCACTTTAATTTACCTATCCACGAATTTTTTGTGGCTATCATCATGATTATCTTTTGGTAAGGTTCAAATTCTTTCTTACTGTATTATATTACCAACTAATTTGACACTTCCTTCGTTTGAAGGGTAATTTAGATAAAGGCCAAACTATCAGATGGTACTGTGCATGAATTTACCGCAGAATAATCTCAAGACACTGGGGTGTCTCGGCTTATCTTAATTAAACCGAGTGTTTCAAATACATTGTTTTCTTTTGAGTATTTCTCAACTTATCAAAGAATTAGATTCATTTTATAGTACACTGCATATTTATGGGGTTCGCTTTTATATAAGAAGCTTTGAAGAGAGCCAAAATTAGTGCTATTTTTTAATAAAATTTGTTTTGTTGGGTGCATATGTATTTTAATAATTGATATTGACATTCTTTATCATCTACTTTTGGCGTATTTTTATCCTTTGCTCAAAAATTAAATTTGCGCCAGGAAGGCCAAACCCGTCGATTTTTGCTCAGACTTCAGTGGGGTAACATCAAAATCTTCAAGTGCTTGCCAAGTATGCTGAAAGTTAACTGTGAAAAAAATTTTAACTTTAAAATTTTTTATCTATATCTCTTACTATTTTCATCATTGTTTATTTAGATACCTCTTTTATGGGGTTTTAATTTTCCCCTGCATTCGGCATTTTTATTGCTTAAAAATCGACATTTTTACTTTCACTATGGTGCAAACTACTGGAGATTGAGAATTTTAATTTTATTTTCACTATCTGGCTGCACGATGCTTGAATCACTCTTCTCGTAGGGAGAGATGATTTATTTAGTCACTATGAGTAATTCTCTTAGCCATCATCGGTCGTCGACTTTGAGGAACACTTTGTTGTCTAAGGCAAGCATAACAGCCATGCTATCGAATTCGTTAGGATCAATTTTTTCAACTTTCTTTCATTCATGGGTATTATTTGGTTATTCTTTACTCTAAATATTCTGTCTTTTATGCTTCAAATTTTCACTTGGGCCTATTCTTCCATCTAGCCCCCACTATCTTCCATTTAAACGTATAACTTTCACTTGCATCCACTCGTTATTTTCGTGTTTTGTTTGTTGTTCCATTTTCAACATATATTCAGTTCATCTTCTTTCATTCCTTTTCATTGGTTTACTCCGATTCCTTGTCGGATTGTTTTTATTCTTTTATATTTTTTGACATCACTTTTTTCTAATTTATATCTAAATCCAAACTCACTACTATTCCGCTCACACCATACCTCCTTCGGCAGGTCGCCTGTCTGGTACACAGCATCTACGTGGGGGCCAATGACCGCCTGTGGAGCGGGCCAGATGGCTTCGTTCTGAGCCAGGATGAGCTGGTAGCATGGCTACCTCTCGGCCAAAGTCATGTGGAAGCTTTGTTTTCGTCAGCCCGTCGAGTTCAACAGTTCCGACTCACAGGTGCCGAATCTGGTCTCCTCGCCGCCGTTATTCTCATCACTCCAGGTAAGCTGCTGCATATCCTAATGACCATAATTTTATTTTTCAGCTTGCTTGTCATCGTTACCAGTACATATTAGTGAGTTCGATCTTTATCGGGGCTTTTTATAAATTCACATGACAATTTTCGCCTACTCTCTTTTATCTTCAAATTTAAAACGGCAAATTTCGTTCCTTGATACATACTAAGACTATTGTGTTATTTTGTATTCAAGCACATAATTTAATTTAATCAGAGTTTAGCTCTTTTGAGGTGCTCGCTTACGCCTTCCAACATCGCTTACACCATTTAGTTGATTTTAATGGCTGTCTTATGACCTATAGCCTAACTTTTTTTTATTGTGCTCAGCCTGCATATTCTATTTTCTTACCTTCGGTTTTGAGATAAGCTTGATTTTGTTTTATTTGTAGATTAGCCGTATTCTTGATTGATTGGTATTTTAGGCACAGTTACGAGATTCTAACACTGTTCATGTGATTTATGGCACTAGATAATGAACAATACAGTTTGCATTATCGAATCCACTGGCAATGAGTTACCACTGGATTCACATGGCCCGCATTATACTACCATATAGGAAGATGATAAAACCTAAGCGAAGGAAAAAGTCCAATTCAGCCCATTCTAGATGCACTGTTGATTTCGAAGCATACTCGTTCAGTGTGTTGCCTGAGTCTGCCAGACTGCGCTTTAGGCCGCAGCTCTAGAATAGGCATGGAATTTATGTTATTGCAAGCTGTTTGAAATTCATTTCGTCAAAGCAATATCCTACTGCTTTTTGACTCTCATTTTTAAAAGGAATAAAAAAATCGTCGAACCATAGTTTAAGAGAAATGAAGAAACATTCATCATTTAATGTCCTAGGGGTTTTGATATTTTGAATTTTAAGTCTCCTTTATCAAGTTTATTAATATCAATCTGTTACACAGTTGTCTATTTGAAACTGGTGTCCTTCTAGATTCGACATCATATGTTCCTTATTTTATTTTTAAAAGGTTCCTGACATACATTATGCATACCCCTTTTTTTATCCTCCAGCTTGTCAACTTGCCACGACTAAAAACCTAAATCAGTGTTTGGCAGCATATGAGCCTTACATTTGCGTCCTCGATGACGGTATATACGAGGATTTAGAGGAGATGATAAAATAAAGAATTTGTGTAAGCATTGATTGTGATTGGAATAAAAACAGAAAACTAAATT